ATAACTCTGATTTAGGAGCGGTATTGCTTATAAACTCTAACACACACACATACCCACACATACACACACGTACACACTCAAGCGAAAGTAGTAGGACCAGTATGAAAGATAATTAGTCAAACCACTCTACACATATCTGTATAGGTTTTTAATTTTCTTTTGGCTTAATTGAGTCTATATAAGAGGTAAGATAGAGCCTAGTGCTGACTTGAGACTTTTACAAGAATGAGTCTCAGCTCTGATGATGTCCATCGAATGATGGACGAAAGTTCAGCCAGTTTTCATTGAAACAAGGTAGGAGGTTTCGGCGACTGTGTCAACTTGAACGTCGTCTAAAAGCCAAACGGCTGCAGTACAACGCGATTCAACAGTCCTCTTCTGGTGAGATCGACCCCTCGAATCTCCCTTTCATGCACTTTCATATGAAACGAAAGTCCCCCAACATCGTTTCAATGCTTAGTATGACTGTATGCTAATGCATAACCAGAGCTTTCTTCTTCTATTTTTTCTAGTCTTCATGTATTTTTCTCATAGTCCATCTTTATATGGTCATATTTTCTATTGAACAATAAATATTGCAGCACATTTATTTTCTCCATCTATTCTTTTGGTTCTGTTATTTTCTTAAATTTTCATTATCTTCCCAATTATATTCATCCGTGTTTGCTTCCTCATGTCCACATATCCATCCCCACCCAACTAGGAGGACCTGCTTTACCACCTTGCCGAGGCTGCATCCGCTCTTGATTCCGCTGGGTTGTGGGAACTGCTGCGGCCTATTTATAATTTAATGATTCCCATATTTGAGGCACGTCACGACTATTCGGCTCTTGCAGCTGCATTCCATCATCTTGGTCGTGCCTACGAGTCAATCGGCAAGGCTGAAACGAGCGGGCATCGGCTGTTTGCTTCCTATTTTCGTGTCACCTTCTATGGTCACGTGAGTTTTTGCGTTTCGATGCCACTAGCCTAGTGGATATGGACAGCTAATCCTTGAGGCCAGTCATTTAACGCTGTGTGTTTTCATTATTCCTGTTCTCTATCAAATTGAACGCCAATGAGATTTTTTGATTCGTCTCTATTTTTCTTGGCATTAATCATGACAGCGTGAGACAAATCAGTACTTATGAGTTATGTCTCGAAAACCTACTCAAAACGAAAGAATTATTTGCTGTTAACATCTCCAGAATATCACAAACAAGAGCTTAGCATCGATGCATCCAAATCGAAATTCAAATGGCATATTGGCAAAATGAAATGCAATTGCTTATTACTCTTGCGCAATAAGTCAATAAACCGTGCTCAAACTTGACTTTTCATACATATTTATGCAAACCCGCAAAGTTTCAGAAACCTCTTCAACAGAGTTGGCATTTTTGATGTTTTCTACATTCTCTCCTTTTAGCTTAGTTAGCCTGATTAGACTTTCTATTTTGAAGGAAAAGTCGGATGGAAGAGAATAATGGATCGGCTTCACTGAAAACCGAAGGAAGATTGTTGGATTGTGTGAGGCAGAACTGTGAGATGAGGACGTATTCTCACAATCCAACAGTCTTCACTTCTACAAAGCAATCCTTGGGTTTTCGGTGAGGCCAATTCACAAGAACTTTCCAAACAACTATTCCTTCGAGTCAGACTGGATTATTAAAGGGTCGTTCGAAACCGAGATTTTCTTCATTCTTTAGCTTGTCTCTTTGTTTTTCCCACTTACTACTTTTATTTATTTCCAACTTTTTTCATCAACTTATGTCTACTTTCCACCTCCGCCCCCTTCCCATCCTTTGATTTTGGACCCTACAAGCTCTTCGAGAGTCATGCTGGAAAATCGTTCGTCTATCGAATGAACGCCTGTCAAAAGCTGACGGTAGTCTGCGCCGAGCTGCTAAGATTATATCGGTTTAAGTTGGGTGAAAGTGTAGAGCTGCTTTCTGAAAACTTTGTCGACGCACAACAACTTGATTTGGGAAAGGCATATATTCAGGTGAGCCCTTATCTGCAATCTTATTCCTTCTTTTATCCATACCTTCCTTTCCCATTGTTGCTGAATCATTATACTTCTGGAGTAGGAAGTTTTATGAATATAGTTTTTATCATTAGCAATTCTAGTTTTTCACTTTTATTTATTTGGGTAGAATGCAATTCCATTTTTTTGAAATTAGTCCCCATTTTAGAAGTGGGTTGACCTAGTTGTCACAACTTGGTCTTGTTGTCAAGGCGACTAAGTAGAACGCACCTAGTCCGAAGTCGTCTGCCATAGTAGTTGTCATGATTCCCAGCGTCAGACAGTGGACTTGGTACATTGTCAAACGTTTCGCCGGCATCATAGTCGGCAGCATCAGTCAGTTTTGCCATTCGCCGCACCAAGCTACGAACTCGTCAAAGAGACAAGTGAAGCCAATCCCTCCACAAGTGTTCTGCTGAAAACGGTTACACTATTACTCCTCTTTCTGTCATGGCCCATCTATCAACGTTGCTGGAAGGAAGCCGAAAACGGTTACACCATCACTCCTCTTTCTGTCCTGGCCTATCTATCTACTCTTTACCCTTTTAATGCACTGCCGCCCAATCACGCACAGCATCACTCCTCTTTCTGTCCTGGCCTATCTATCTACTCTTTACCCTTAGGCCAGGACAGAAAAAGGATTGATAGTGTAACCGTTTTCAGCAGAACGTTGGTCGAGGGATTGAGTTCACTTGTTTCTTTGACTAGTTCGTAGCTTGGTGGAGAGAATTTTAGCACTCACTGATGATGCCGGCGAAACGTTTGAGGATGTATCACTAGAATTATGATAACTACTATGGC